GGGATTGTTGGTGGGATGTTGGGAGGAGGAGGGAGGTGGGAGCTGTTACCGGCATGCTGCTTGTCCTGAGCAGGGCCCCCCTCCATCGCCTCGCCATTCATTCTCCTGGCGTCCCCCTGCAGAGGGAGGTTAAAGACTGAGCATCAGCCTCCAACCCCCCAGTGAAGAGGAAGAAACGTGTCTCAGCTCATTATACGGAGCCTTCACATCCATCGACTCTGCTCCAGACACCCGTCTGATCCTCAGAGAGGAGGAGGAGGAGGAGGGGCGCCGCCCCTCTTTTTGCCGGTGCCTGGTGGAGAACCATTGGTGGCTGTCAGTCACATGGGCCAGCTCCCCAGCAGCTGATTGGCTGAGCAGGAGGAGGGATGCTGCAGAGAGGGGAGGAAGGTGGAGAGATGGATCTGGAAGGAGAGGATGGTAAACTGGGAACTGTGGTCCACTACACACACAGTTACAGCGTCGTAGCTGTGTGGTTACTGTCAGCAAATGGAAGTTTCCCTCTGAAAACTGTGTAGTTGATTTGAAGGTATGAACAGACGACTGAACCCATAAATACACATGAGAGCAAGTGAGTGGATCAATAATTCAATAATGAGAATGAACAAATGAATGGTTACTGAGTGAATCAGTGACTGAAAGAATGAATGAAGGAAATATTTACTGGTGAGTCAGTGTCACATCCATCATCTGAGACTGGAGCTGATCTGGTTTTAGTGAATGGTAAGTGTGGAGCCTGCTCTCAGTGTGACCCTAATCTAGCCCTGGCCTCCTCGTCCTCCTCGTCCTCCTCGTCTCTCTGCAGCTTCTGTGCCATTACATAACACAGGAAGCTGTGCAGCGCGGCTCCTCTCACCACAATGACGACAAAGCTCCACGCTCGGTTCCATGACAAACCAACAGGATTTGCAAACAACTCAGCGGGAGGACCGACTTCTGAGACCAGACACAGGGGCAAACCTTGGTACCTGGCACATTTAAGTGTATGACTGACTGGCTAACAGGGTTTCTGCAGGTTTCATCA